CCTGTCCGTGAACCCGGCCAGGAGCGGACCAGCCACAGCCTCCCTGGGCACCCTGGGCCAGTGTCTCACCACCCTCACAGGAAAAACTGCCTGATAGCTAATCTAAATTTCCCTCTTTCAATTTCTCCCATTGCTCCTTGTCCTGTCCCTGCAGCTCCTAACACATATCCCTCTGCAGCTTCCCTGGAGCCCCTTCAGCTCCTGGGAGTTGCTCTGAGGTCTCCACACAACCTTCTCTTCCCTAGGCTGAACAGCCCCAACTCTCTCAGCCTGTCCTCATAGGGAAGGGGCTCCAGTGTTCTGATCACCTTTGTGGCCTCCTCTGGACTGAGTGAGACTCCAGGGGTGTCTCACAAGATCAGAGTAGAGGGGGAGAATCCCCTCCCTCTCCTGCCTCTGAGGGGAAGGAGGTGGAGGCAAGAGCCTGTGCTCAGTGCTGAAATTCTTCAGGAAGATGTTTGCAGTGTGTGAGCAGTGATACCGTGCGGGAGTTCACGTACAAAGAGGTGAGGCTGTTCTCATCTTCGTGAATGTCTCGTGACCCTTTATTATTTACAAAAGTGATTCTTTTACACACACCGATTTTAAGCGCCCACTTAGCATTGGTTAACTACCATTACTAGCCCACCTTACACACAACATAATTGGTTATTAACATATCAATCATAAAATGCCCCAATCATTATTCTCCACCCCTAGCTATCTTCAGCTCCTGCATCCCACAGCCAGGAGCTGCTTATCTTGCTACCTCCTTTCTCACATTCCAGCTGCAGCAGTGTCCTTGAACAGCTCAGCTTGCAGCTTGCTCAGGCCCTGCTAGCAAGGCTGGATTGCTCACATGTCCGTTAGCAATCAGAAATTCTCCCACAAATCCCCCGTTTGTTTTTGAGCAATCCAGACTTGCTTCATGGCTTTACTAATCCTTCCAGAAATTAATCTTAAAACACATGGTATCAACAACAAACCTATAACAAACAAATTATTAACCTTAACTAAATCTTTAGCCCACCCAAGATATACTTTACTTAGGGTACCTAACAGTATTTATAGTATGAAGTCTCCCATAGATGCAGCACAGGTGTTTCCAGGCACCCTGGGTGCACAACGATGGGAGGAGCACTCCTCTCCCCTCTGTTGTCACTCCTTTTCCTTCCAAACAAACTCATAATTACTATTGCATATACAGAACAAAACAAAAATAAAAACTCGAAAAGACAACATATATCAACTTGACACACACAGAGATACACATACTGAAATATTTCCCTAATCCCTTTCCAAGGACACAAGTCAGAGTGTGGCTCCCAAATCATCCTCTCCCTGGAACAGCTGATCCACCCAAATCTTTTATTTTAGATTCAATACCCTCTGTTCTTGTATTTCCCAACTATTACATACTCGACACAGAAAAGTAATGAACAAATCACAAAATACATTCAAATTGTTGACCAGAAAATTTACGATTACAACAACATAATTTACGATTACAGCGATCTCTAAACCGCACTTTTTTTTTTTTTTGATGTCTTTTGGGTCTTGCTGTATCTCTTCCTGGGCCATGAGGCTGCTCGCTGTGGCCTTGGCCGCTTTTTTGTGATGGTTTGCTGGACCTGCTGTCTGTTTGGGGGGGGGGAAGGGTACGACACCTTTTGTGAATTCTTTAATTAGTTTCCAGAGAGTAGAATACTTGCTAGCTTCTTCCCAGGTGAGTAACTCAAACACTGCTCTGATCCTGGGGATGAAGTCCCTATACTGTGCCCACAGCATCAAGCCTTTAAGTGCTTGTGCTTCATAATAATTTTCTCTCACAGAGAGCATATGTTGGAGGATTTTAAACCCCATCTCCTCCCTGACCCGCTCACTTGCCTTTTCGCAGAAAAGATTCGTCTTCCCCGAATTCTCGGAGGCTCAGGCCCTGCTAGCAAGGCTGGATTGCTCACATGTCCGTTAGCAATCAGAAATTCTCCCACAATACCAGGCTTGGAGAAGGGTTATGATAACAAATAAGTGTTTTTAAGTCACAGGTGACTTCTCTGCTCTCAGGGGAATCACCATGTCTTGTTCACTGCTCCAGTCACCACTGGACACCTGTATCCAGGCTGTTTGCTGGCTGGAACAGAAGCTTTTAGCCTCTGTGACTATTAAATTACATCTTTTTTCCCTCAGCTTTAACCTGAAGGACATCCCCTCTGGGCTGGGCAGCGAGTCCAGACTGGACCGCAGCAAGGGAGAAAGTCGCACGGAAAACATCCTCCTGGATTCCTCCTCCACCCTGATCAACAACGAGGGTAAGGTTCCTGGGCACGCAGAGGCCCAGTCCTGCAGCTCTTCACCTGAGCTGGAGTCAGGGGTAAACTGGACATTCGTCCTGCAGCCTGGGGTGGTGGGGCGGGCACTGCACCCTGGGACTGTGGTGACAGTGACAGTGGTGTCGCAGCTGTGGAGCACAGCTGTGGTGGGGAGCTGTGCCATCGGGCTGGGGCAGGATGTGGGGATCCAGCTGATTTCTCTCTCCGTGGCACACAGACAATGAAGAGACGGAGGGCAGCGACGTCCCTGCGGATTACCTGCTGGGAGATGTGGAGGCAGACGAAGATGACCTGTACATGATGGACCATGAGAACCCACACGGTGAGCACAGCCGGTGCTGGGAGGTGCTGCC